GGGACACCACCATGGGCTGAGATGAAGACCCCAGGGCCAACCTGGAACTGATTTAGAGCCACCATAGTTGGCGCGTGGCCACCAGGACCAGCTCGGGGCCACCAAGGATGGCTTGAGGCCACCAAGGATGGCTTGGGGACACCACAGACACCTCAGGAACACCACCACGGGGTCACCGCAACCGCACCGCGAACCAAACAACAGGCCAAAGAGCCAACGTGAAGACCGCAGGACCAACCCAAAAAACCCGAATCCCACCAGAGTTCCCGCGGGGGCCACCAAGGATGGCTTGGGGACAACGGGGGCCACCTCGAGGCCACCACGGAGGTCACTCACTGTCGCAGCTCGGCCTTGACGGGGCTGGAGACGCGTGGGTAACAGACGCTGAAGAGGCCACAAGCGGAGGTGCGGGAGGTGAACCAGTCGCCCCCCGCCAGGCGCTTCACCAAGGGGACGAAGTGACCTTCTAGGTCAGGTGGGGCGTGTTCGTGGGACACGGCCCGCAGGGACTCCACCGCCTTGTCCCGCACCACTGTCTCCTCCACTGTGGCCAGGCTCTCCAGGGGGGGCTGTAAGGGGGGGGACAGGGGGATACGGGGTCACCCTTAAACTGTGAGATCCCCCAAAAAGGTCGTTCGTGTCCCCGACGTCCACCCGACCAACCCAACGTCCCCCCAACCGACCCAACGTCCCCTTTGAGGACCCCAATGTCCCCTCAGGGAGTTGGGGGGGTTCAAGGAGGTGACCCCCTCAAATCCTGACACCCTCTCAAGGTCCCTCAGGTCCCCAACATCCCCCTACAAGGAACCCAATGTTCACACAACCGACCCAACGTCCACCCAACCGACCCAACGTTCTCCTGAAGAGTCCGACATCCCCCCAAAATCACCTCAGTGTCCCCCTTGAGGACGCCAAGGTCCCCTCAGGGAGTTGGGGGGGTTCCAGGAGGTGACCCCCCCAAATCCTGACACCCTCCCGAGGTCCCTCAGGTCCCCAACGTCCCCCTACAAGGAACACAACGTCCACCCAACTGACCCAACGTCCACCCAACCAACCCAACGTCCCCCTTGAGGACGCCAAGGTCCCCTCAGGGAGTTGGGGGGGTTCCAGGAGGTGACCCCCCCAAATCCTGACACCCTCCCGAGGTCCCTCAGGTCCCCAACGTCCCCCTACAAGGAACACAACGTCCACCCAACTGACCCAACGTCCCCCCAACCGACCCAACGTCCCC